ATGCCCAGCTGCTTTAGTCTTCGTTTGTCTTGCATTTGCTTATAAGCTTTTAATTATTGTTTGTCAAGGTTCTAACATTTTTGTTAGAACTTTTAACTACAGAATAGATGAGATTAGATTTGACAATGGATTCTAAATAAATTTAGCTTAAGAGCCAGTCTTTCTAAATCTCTGATATTGCTCAATATGGCAAGAATTTTTTTCATGACACTGACCCCCATGCCCTCAGGAAGTTGGGCTTGAGCTCATATGACTACAGCTGGGAAAAGCTACTTTGGCCACGAGGGACACAATGCTTAGGCAATGCCTTCATAAAATTTGTAACAGAATGCTGGAGAAAATTGTATGTCCAGATTGTTTCCTTTTCTCTCCTTCACCTCCCTACTGTTTTTAAAAAGTTAAATGGTTCTTTGCACTTCAGAAGGAAAACTCCTTAAAAGCTCGTTGCAGATTAGAAAACAGCACATGTGCAGATCAAATGTTAATTTTAAAATATTAGTAAGGTCCTATCACAGGAGATCAAAGGTAAGTAAGTACACACATTCTTTGCTCAGAATGAGGAGATACTTGAGGTGGAATATTATTCATTGTCTCGCAGCATATGACATAAGTGCCACTTGCTCTAATCTGCCTGGAAGTGGGGCTGGAAACCCGCAAGCTTATCCAATGTGATGCTGTGTATGGCAGTGGGTGAGAACCTCATAAACGAAGCCACAGTTCAATAAAAGTATATGTTCATGTGTACACACAAAGCAAACATACTTAAAAGGGTGCAGTCTCAAGCCCTAGATCAGAGTAGACATGGAATTTTACTTCATTTTTCTTTGGTTTCACTTTAGTCCCTAGTCTCTCAGTTTTGCATGCACTGGGGGGAGGCTTTAATTTCACATTCTAAGGACTGCTCCTCTTTGCCCTAGTGTTGCTTCAATATTCTGAGGTTTTTGCATAATTGTGCAAAGGTGAATTAGGTAAGTTCATAATTCACACACTGGATCGCATGCCCTCTTCCCATCTTCATGATGTGCTGGTTCCCCACTTCACTTAGGGTGTGGAAAATGGAGCACACATTTCTGGTTGCCAATTTGTGTATGTCTTTATAGTCAGCCCTGTGGTCCTTTCTCAGTGTCTCTAAGAAAGGTCTCACTCAGACATTCTACTCTCTCTGCCCAGGTAAATTTCTCTCAAGTTTGGTAATGAAGCCCAGTATGATTTGGATCTTAAATGTCCCCCAAAGGCCTATGAGCTACAGCTGTGACCTCTAGTTTTCAGTGCTCCTTGAAGGAGGTGGGCCCTCCAGGATCTGGAGCTCAGTGATTGAGAGCAGGGTCACCGGAAGCATGCTCTGAAAGGGGTTGTTGGGAACTGGATCCTTCATCTCTGGCTGCCTCCCACCATGAGCTAGCACTATCATATTCTGCTACCCAAGCAACATATTGCAGCCAAGCAATTATGGATGAAAACCCCTGAAACCACGGCTGAGATAAATCTGTTATCCTTACACACTCTCTTCAGTATATTGCTGCAGCAAAGCAAAACTGACAAACATGCCTAGGAACATCTGGTGTTTGCCCCCAAAACTTCCCTCTTCTGTATTGGTATGGTTTATATCTAAGTGTCCCCCAAATCCTCATGGGCTTTTAGGGGGCGATTGGATCATGGGCATGTGATACTCATTGGTGGATTAATAGGTAAATGTGATGTTGGGAGGTGAAGCCAGGTAGAGGAGTTGGGTTCCTGGGGTGTGATCCGGGAGAGTCTCTCCTTTTTTCCTCTCCTGGTCTTCTCTGCTTCTCTCTGCCACACCATGAACTGTTTCTCCTCTCTCATTCCCCTCTTCCATGCCACCCTGCGATGGACTATGACCCTGACTATGGCCTGAAACCTCTACAGACTGTAAGCCTCAATAAATCTTTGCACCTTAGAGTTGTAGGTGTCAGGTATTACGTCTCAGACTGAGAGAGTGACTAAGACAGTGATTTACCATACTTTTAGTTTCTCAAGATTCACTCTCCTGGAAAGCAAAAGTTTCACAATCTATTTCAGATTTCCTTCCCTCCATATCACACCTGTAAGGCAAAGCTATGCATTTGAGTGGAAGGAAAATGTCTTTAAATATATGGCTTAACAGTTTGAAAATACTATTTCTTCAGATAAAATAGAACATTACTCATTAAGTAGGAGCCCTAGCTGGGTGTGGGGGTGCACGCCTGTCATCCTAGCACTCTGTCCTGCCAGCCTGGGTGGACAACGTAGGAAGTTTGTGAGACTCTGGTCAAAAATAATCATCATCATAAACTTTAAGATTTAAAAAGGCCTACATGCAGTGGTTTAAATTCCTCTAAAATATAAAGACTTTCAGACTGGATTAAGCAAAATATTACTTACAAGAGAAACACCTAATATGAGAATATTAACAAACTATTACATACCAATTTAAAATATTTCAAGAGGGAGAAATACTTGGCAATACTTTGTTTTGCTAAATTTTATACAGAGTTCTATACATGTATGTATGTATGATATAAACATTGATAGAGACAGAATATTTTAACCCATATTTTAAAAGTACTCTTGAGTATTAGTGCTCACTTATGTGTGATTGAATTAAGGAAATTTTTTAAACCTTTATGTATAGGCACGGAAGCATTAAATTTGTAAACAGAAGGTTTTTTTTGTTTTGTTTTTTAACATGTTCTCATTAGCCTGCACCACTGGCGGTACATGCATGAATGGTCCAGCAGGCAGCTCGTACCTCTCTGGCGGTAGGTAACACAAGTGGTAGTGTTAAGCATGGGACAGCCATGCACGTACCACTGATGGTTCAAGCTACCTGGCAGCGAGACCTATGAATTACAGCCCCATGGTGAATGTGTTAAAGGCAGCAGATAATTACAGGTTCTTTTCTTTTAAATATAGCTACGAGATAGTACCAAGGGCTGTCTTTTACTATATAAAAAGAAAAGGCTAAAGGGAGATAGGATGCGGGGATAAGACATATACAAGAAAGTAGAAAAACCACAAAGTAATGAGAATTTTAACCTCATGGTGCATTTAGTATTTGATTAAAATATATACCTTTACTCTTTGTGAGTGTGTGTGTATAGTTAAACAGATTGGTGATAGTCCAATCTTCCTATTTTTTTGTGAAACAGGAAGAAAATGTCTAAAGGAGTAGGGCAAGTGGGAGGGGTAGGGGAAAGGAAAGAAAGGAAAAGAAAAATATGAGAAAAGGAAAAAATATGGAAACAAAGTCTTTGTAAATAGGGAATGGTGGAGGGGGTGAAGGGAGGACAGGGGAATGGTGAAAAAAATAAGACCCAAGATATGTCATGAAAAGGTACAATGATGAATGTAACTGTACTATACACTAAAATGTACCAATAAACTTAATGGGGTGGGGCGAGTAATTAATTTAATATAGGAAAGAAAATGTTGTGTGTCATGACTGAAAGTCACTTTGAGCCAATCTCTCAAGAGCAGATACTGACAAGCCCTGACTGCAGGCTGGGAGTGCAGCTCACCAGTAGGTACGTGAGTCGCTCAGGCTTTTCCCCAGCACAGTAGAAAAATAAAGTAAAACAAGATTCCTGGGTGGAGAGCAGGATATAGAGGAGAGGGGGAAAGTGGTTTAACAGGGAGTCAAGGAAGAGAGGGACAGAATATATATAATTGGATCGGTATTTTATGAAAACTCATATAATTAAAAAACAGCCATGCAGTATTTGTAGATTGATCTAGGAGTCAGAGTTATTAGGCATTGTTGACTTGTTAACACTATGGTTGCTAACTTTTACTTTGTGGGTTAGAACAAAGGAACTTCCAGTGAAAGGTGCTTTCACGCTAAAGCATGTGTGCAGGTTCACTGAAATGCTACACTCATAGATGAACAATCAGAATGCAACTGGAAGAAAACAGGATATGTTTCAGGGTAGCAAATGTTTGTTCTGACTCTAAGATGTGGGAGTAAGGACAAGATGGCTTGGTTCAGCCTTTGCAGCCCCATACCTATCTTTTCAGAATATTTAAATATCCTTTCTGTGCTTTACTCTCAAAATCTTTTACAATTTAGCAGGTCTAATCATTAATGCACACATGTGTATGAGGAGGAATGCATAACAGGAAATTTTTAAAAGTGTCATCACTTTAGGCCACTAATACTGCTGAATATCCTTACTCCAGTTAAACTCGGAAAGCTGTGCACTATTTAAACAGGCACTATTTAAACAGGGGTGGGAAAAAAAGAAAGGCTGTTTTTTTTTCTGTTGGTATCAGTACTGAAAATGTGTCTTCTTTTTTTGCCACCGTCCCTGAATTTTTACCAGCGGCAGAGCTTTATCCTCATCTAAATTACTAATGTACTTTGAGTCTGTTTTGATAGTTTTTCATCTCTTCTTAAACATTTTTCTTAACTTATTGGTAAATTATTTGATAACAGGCAATTAATAAAATACTTGGAAAAAAGACAAGAGATGAGGTGTTATCATCCCCACACTGGTATTTTTTTAAAAAGAGCATCAGGAGGTACACACACACACAAGAACTGTGGGAGCCCCGCCATGGCCCTCCAGGCATTTGACATTCAGGAGGAAACTTCTTCACCTCTACACTCAAGGCACTGATACAATCTGTAACATTCTAGGACTCTGCTTGTTAAACTTGTTGCTGCAATGGGAGAAACTCAGAGACAGCCATAGATCTGATGTTCTTTGTAAAGAGTCAGAAAATCCGGTCTTTGCATAAAAGACACAAATAGTTGCTTGGTGCTTCCTGTGGATGTGAACCTATAAAAGGAGCTGTTTCTGTGAAATAAATCAGACTTCTCTTGGTCTCCACTCAGGCTTGAGTGTTCTTTCCTTTCTCAATCCTCACTCCCCAACTCAGGCATGTTCGTGTTGTGACGGCTGGGCCGCCACAAAGCACAAAGGTTACAAAGGCTGTTTCTACTAGCCACAGCTGCCAAGCTTGGAAGTCTGCACTACAATATAATGGTGTATACATACATTAGTCCCTTTCTGCTGCTGGAACAAAATACTTGGCACGAACACCATAAAGGATGAAGGCTTGTGGCTCGTAGTTTCATAGTTTTCATGCTCAGGTTGGTTGGGTCCAAGGCATAAACTTCACAGCTTGATGGTATGGTGGACTGCTTGCTGCTCACATCACGGTGGCCTGGAAGCAAGTGACAGCAGGAAGAGACAGAGGAGATACAGGTAATCCTCGTCTAATGACTGAGTTTTGGTCTCACAACTAGGTCATTAAATGTGTTGGTCACTAAAGGAATTATATAAATGGTCAAAGGAAACTCCAGCCTGATGACTTTGCTTTTATTTGCCTAACTCTTAGGTACAGTACTGGAATGTACAACAGAACATAAAACTACAGTCCTGTACTCTACAGTACAGTCAGCAAACATTACAGTACTATATAAACAAGGTGTATGGACCAAAAAGACATTTAGACTGTATAAGCAAGATGTACAGAACTGTACAAAAAAGGACGGGTAGTAACAGTCATTAAACAGGTGGGTCTTTAAACAAGGAATGTCTGTATTCTTCGAAGGCACAACCCCAGAGACCCAGCTATTCCACCTAGACTCTACTTCCTAACAGTTCAACCAACCATGAACTCAGTGTGTTAACCTATGGATGGGTTAGCACCCTAAGGACCCAACTGCCTTCAGAATGCACCGCTTCTGAAGTCATGTGACTTTAGGAGACATTTTAAAGTTAAACCATAACAATAAACTTAAGATGCAAACAATACATCTAGTCACCCCATCATTTTGAAACTAAGAAATTATTCTTTGCAATGACTATCCAAGTATAATGATTAAAATATTTCACAGTAAATTGGAATGACTTCTTCCTAACAGTACTACAAAGTAGGTGTCCACTTCTGTGTCATATGCAGTGCTGCCAAATTCCATCCCACTAGGAATATACTTATTTGTTGTGTAACAAGCTACCTGTCTAGTGACTGCTTGGACTTAAGACCCAGGTACACTGTTCAGCCTTACGATTCATCTTTTTTTTTGTACAATTTTGTACATCTTCTTTATAAAGTCTAAATGCCTTTTTTGTACAGTATACCTTTAAACAATACTGTAACTTCTACTGTCCAGTACAGTATGACTTTATATTTTGTTATATTCCAGTACTGCATGTAAAAGTTATACAAATAAAAGCAAAGTCATTAGGTTGGGTTTCCTTTAACCATTTGTTGTTCTGAATATTGTAATGTACATACTGAATTCAATTCCTCATTTAGTGACCAATTTCACAGGAAAAGAACTTGGCCATGAATTCCCACATTCTATTGTATTTAGGCACATTCACTAAGAATGCTGTACAAACACCACATTCATAAAAAGACAAATGTCTTCAAATATGTATTATTTCTATAATGTCTAATACTGGGGAAAATTAAGCTTTTTGGATATTGAGGCAAAACAAGCATGGCATTGCTTGTTTTGCTTCAAGAGCCAAAAAAATAACATGATTTGCTTGTTTTGATACAGAAAGGAGTGATTTGGCACAGGTCTTACTGAGACCTGTTGCCAAAGGGACAGAAAAAAAATTTTTTGTTTTTGCACTTCTAAGGGTGAGTAGCTTCCAACAGTACTTCAGGTGATAAAGCATTCATTTGGAGGGATGGAACTCGATGTACTTATTCAAACCTTATCTGTAGACTCCTGGGAACAGGAGGACTCCATCCAAATCCCTGCACTCTGTGTCCTGACCCAACTCCAGCATGCTTCCAGCAGGACAAGGCCACGCGCCCAGCATGACCCCACCACCCTTGGAACGGCTGCCTGAGCAACATTGTCTTAACCAACTGATGAAAGGCTCTTAAACTCCCTCGGACCAGTTATTAGGATAGGTTTATGTGTCTCTTGAAACTGAGAACTTCAAGGACCTAGGAGCCATACTTTTTAAAATTAAGTTTATTGGTCCATTTTAGGCATACAAGAGTTCCTCCATTCATCATTGGGATCTTGTACCTTTACATGACGTATCTTGGTTATTTTTTCCCTATTGCCCAGCCCTCCCTTCACCCTCCTTCCCTGTTTACAGACATTGTTTCCATTTTTTCGTATTTTTTCTTTTCCCTTACCTTTCCCCTACCCCTACCTTCCCTACTACTTTAGACCTTGTCTTCCTATTTTACATTATCAATTATACATATTGATCCTTATTTACACTTTTAGTTTTTCACACCAGAGAAATTATTCGGTACTTACACATGTGTAACTAAATTCACTTAAGAGTATGGCCTCAATGTGTATCCACTTAGCTATAAATCTCTCTAGTTTCTCGTTCTTTATGACTGAGTAGCAATCTGTTTTATAAATAAAACCACATCTTCTTATGGGGAGCCATACTTCTGAACCATAATCAGGAAGACCCTGCTCTGTCTTCCAGTTTCTGAAGCAGAACAAAAACACTGCTGGACTCATCACATTCAAACTGACCCCCCCCCCTTTTCACTTCTCAGAGGACTGAGCACCTACATTTCTCCTTCTAGCCACCTCCTTTAAAAAAAACAAGTTACCTCTGCAGGAGTCGGAATAAATTGGGCTCTTTTCCCCTACTGTCGGGAGTTACTGGATAAGATGTTTACACCGCCTCACCTCAGGGCCAGTTGTATTCACGGTTGACAGCAGCTCCCCAAAAATCTAATCTCAGTTCCCTCGTCAAGAAGATTCCAATCCTGATGCAAACCACCTTTCTTTTCAGCTGTCTTCAGAGCTTTTAGTCACACAAAATTCATACTGGCCCAGAATTTTTAGCTCCCTGGGCTTTATAAAGATCACATCAAATTCAGGACATATACGGAATACTGCACTTAGAAAAATCACAAAATACCCATCCTCCCCTCGATAACGCTGATACTGAAAAAGGGTTTATTTAGAAACAAACACTACCGGCTACCCTTCCTCTCTTCCCGGGTTCACAGCAGAACAGGGAAAGATTCCTCGGTGTAAACCCGAGAGAGCAGGGGGTCGTCACGTAAGGGGCGGAGCTTCCGGCCCGGGAGAGGGCACGCGCGAGCCGAAGGGCCGGAGGGGGCGGAGCCAGGCCCGGGCCGGTGCGGCAATCGGAAGGCGGAAGTGGGTGCGGGGCAACGGAAGAGGGTCTCCGGGAAGCGGAAGACACTTCTGGGGTCCACGGCTCGGCATTCTCGAAGACTGTGCGATACAGTTGGTTCTTAGGGACGGGGTCCTGGAAATGTCGCTGTGGGGTGGTTGCTAACGTCTTTGCAAACGAATTCCGAGCGCAAAGCCCCCTGTCCGTGCCGCGGGCAGCGGAAGACACTTCTGGGGTCCACGGCTCGGCATTCTCGAAGACTGTGCGATACAGTTGGTTCTTAGGGACGGGGTCCTGGAAATGTCGCTGTGGGGTGGTTGCTAACGTCTTTGCAAACGAATTCCGAGCGCAAAGCCCCCTGTCCGTGCCGCGGGCTCCCTGCAAAGCTCCTGCGCAGGCGCACTGCCCTCTTCTGGGCGAGGGACTCCGGACCCAGCGCGCAGCTGCCCCGGGCCTTGGGGAGAGAAGTGCAGAATTTTGCCTCCGACGCGCTGCTTTAATCTCGGAGTCCGGGGAACCCACTGTGCTAATTTAGGTAATACTCCCGGGATCTGTAGAACTCGCTACCGGTGTCTTCTCTTGCTTAACTAAAACATCTGTTACTTGTTTAATGCAGACAACTCAAAAAATGAGCAACACAGTCTTGGTATGGGTTCTTTTATTCTGAATTTTTTTTTTCCTGTGCTGCATTCCCTTTAAGATTACGCTCATATGCAAGAATATAGGAAATTATTAAGATCAAAGCTTGGAATGGCCGATAAAGACTAAGAGACCACCTAGGTCAACAACACCTGTTGCTGTAGGTGCTGCAGGACTAGAGAAAATCCGAGCAAGGGCAGGAATAACAATACCCTACTTGTGAACACCGAGCACTGGTGGTAGAGATAACGGTGGGGAAAAGTGTAATTGTGAAATCTGGAGGAGGGAAATAAAACATCCGATCTCGACCCTGATTATATGCAAAGCGATCATTTGAAGCGCTGAGATAACATTTCAGCATTTCAGCGAGGGAAACTGGCGTGTGAAGAGAGCCTGGAGTTGAACTGGGTGAGTGGTGAGGCCCGTTAACAGGGTAAATGGAGAGTTGAGTTGTAGCCAGGTTCTTAGGTGGTGTGCAATTTAATCTTTAGGAAAATCATTGGCAGTTAGTATTTGTCAGACATGGTTCTAGGTGCTGCAAATGACGCCTTGCAGCTGAAGTTAGTGGGCCAAGTTGGTTAAAGACGTAATTCTGGCAGTGAGTGCGGGTTTTAAGGGATATGGACGTGAGTGCACCGTGGAGTTAGAGGAAACCACCTGGAATTGCTCTGAGAGAAAACAAAGTGAAACAGGTAGAAAGACTACATATCCTAAGGCTTGAATAGCAAGACGTAGGAAGGATTTGATTTGAAGAACTGCACGTTGTTCATTTTGGGCTGGGTGTGGGAATAGCGTGCAGGTGGTGGGTAACAACTTGAAAGGTAATTTATAAGATGACAGCCAAAAATCAAGTCGAAGCTTGAGAAACAGGCTGTGTATGTTGACAGTCTGAAGTCACAAACTTCTGATTTTTTTCCTTGCTTACTATCTGCGTTAGCCTAATTGTTAAGTATGGGTTCTGAATTTAATGATTCCAAAATAATGGATAAACAGGTAAGGATTTTTAGTGGAATAATCAGCTTATTCTCTCTTTACTGAGGGAAGTTTTTTTATTGCCTTGGTAGAACATGAAAATAAATAAATTGGAAAGAGAGACATTTGGTCTCAGATCATCAGACAGTCTCCTTTCTTACCCCTTTCCAGTAGCTTGGCAGAGAGCTTGCTTACTCAGCTGGGCAAAACTTTTGGGAGTGGGGCAGCAACACAGCCTGTATGACAGATTTAAACATTTTTGCCCTGAAGAAAGTTGGAACATTTTAAATGCCTCAGAACTTTTTTATTGTAATTCTGGCAGTATCCCAAATATATTTGTTTATCGAGTTCCTTATACATATCTTGAATTTTAGGCTTCGCTTACTTGAATTTTCAGGTACTACTACACCTACCACGATGGCTGACACTATCTCTTCAACACTGAGCTCTTGTCAAGAGCAAATTTACCTTGTCAAGGTAAATTTTTAGAATTGGACTTCTTTCAGCCAGCCAATCTAGCGGGCCTAAGTAGTGTCCTCTGGATTTTTCTAGTATGATGCTGGTACAGACAGGAAAACCTGAGAGGAGAGAAAAAGGGAAGGTAGTGGAAAAAGTAAAAATGAGGGGAGAAATGTAGAAAAAATTTTAATTAATAGAAAAGAATACATGAAGTAATAAGCTTTCCTTAGAGAAATCCACATTTGAGTGATAGTTCAAAGATCACGAGATTATAAAGGATAAATTAGAGACATAGGAAAATAGATATACCTTGAAAACACTAACTGAAATAAATTGAACACACTAGCTTAACTACCATATGCGTTCTCTCATTTGAGTAATGCGTAGTACAAATAAAGAGCAAAATAAAAGTTTGATGAAAGGAATTAAGGACATAATGTTTTGTATAAGGGAAGGGGTTCAAGAGACTGAGATTGGGGAGCATAAATCGATTTAAGATGTTTCATCTACCAGTTACAGTGAATTTAATTCTGTTTCACAAACATGAACAAAAATAGTAACAGTAATAATGAAAATGGGGAAGGGGAATCTGAGATGGATGGCGGGAAGGGGACTAGAAGCAAGATGTGTTAAGCAGGTGCACCTCCTCCCTGAGGTGAATGGAAACTTCATGTGCTGCAGACTGCTAATAAAACCTCTTAGAAGATGCCTCATGAGGCAAAGGATTATAGTTACGTAGATATGGAAGGGTAAGGAGATGAAGATCTAGTGACATTAATACTAATTGCTGTAGTACCAACACCGTGTACAAAAGAAAGCAGAACATAAGTTGTTTATTGTTTGTTATTGACAATGATAACTAAATGTTAATGATTTTATAAGGCTTTACCCCTTATTTTCTAGTTCAGTTCCTTGTCCCTTTTCCTAAACACAGCATTATGACAGACAAATTAATTTTTCCAAGTAGCTATCTGTCTTTATCAGTTTCTGTACCATTTTTGTTTGAAATCATGATCTTTGCGGAAAGGAGCAGCAGCTCTGCCCCGATTTACTTTTCTCCACTCAGGTGTCTTTTCACATTTGATCACCCCTCGCACCGTGCACAGAGCCAACATTAAAAACACACTGCTGGGAAGGCCAGGGATTTAGCTCAGTATTTCTGCCACTTGCCTCTCAAGCGCCAGGTGCTGAGTTTAATCCCTGGTACAAAAAAAACAAAAACACGCTGCTGGCGAGACTGTTTGGCTCTGAGTGTGTAGGACTTCCAGCTTTTTGGATTGAGCTGGTAAGTAACCTTGAGAGCAGATTTTTCCCTAGACTACGGGGAGGCCTGAGGAGTGGAAAACTGGAGTGGGAGGAGAGGAGACAATTAGAATGGAGGCCATGTTGTTGCATTACTGTATGTATAAGCATTAAAAAAGCCAGGCAAGGAATCTGTTCTCCTTTCTGAAAGGAAGCAGAAATCAGGAGCTTCGGACCAGTAGTCTGGGGTGGCCCTGTGGTAGGCTGACAGAGGCCTAGTTATAAAGACAACTTGCTTTGGCCAACTGACAGTTTTACTTCTTGAACTTGCATTTCTTAGAAATTAAACAGTGAAATATTTTTTTTATGTTGTAAATGTAAATCTCATCTTTAGAAATGATAGATACTCATAGAGTGATAACCATATTGTGTATCATTAAGTTTTATACATATTTAACTTCAAAAATTTTAATTAAGGACCTGACTTAGTCCAACTTGTGCTGCTACCACAAAATAACAAGATTGGGTAGTTTATAAAAAACAGAAGTTATCAGGCATGGTTACACATACTTGTATTCCTAGCCACTTAGGAGGCTGAGGCAGGAAGATCATTTGAATCTAGGAGTTGAGGACAAAATAGTGAGGCCTAGTCTCAAAAACAAGAAATGCAGAACTTGTTTCTCAGCTCCTGAGGCTGTGAAGTCCAAGATCAGGATGTCAGCATCTGCTGAGGTCTGTCCTGTGCGTCCAGGATGGCGCCTCCAATGCATGTCCTTCAGAAGAGAGGAGTGCTGTGTTTGTCACATGGTAGAGGGCAGAAGGGCATGAGGGACAAACTCCCATCAAGTCCCTTTGTAAGAACACCTCACTATAGGCATGAGCTTGGAGCCCGCGAGCCGCACTTCCCAGTGCTGTTGAATTGGAAGTACTTTCAGTGAGTTTTGGAGGCTACAAAAATACTCAAACCATCATGCGGCCTTATTTCTGTTTAAATTTGCTTTGGGGTGGGCTTTAGGACTATGTAATTTTCATGCTGTAATGGATTACCTCTAACATGGTCTTTGGAATGAATAATAATCTGAAAACATGCAAAACTAGAATATCTTAAGTTCTCCCTCTACTGCTAGCTTGGCCACTTGGAAATAACTAAAATAAATTTTTAAAGGTGATCTGAATTTATTTTCTTTTAGTTACTCCTCTATAGACCCAGGAGAGCTGGTGTGTTGCTTGATTTTGTGTGTGTGTGTGTGTGTGTGTTGTTAGAACTCCCAAAAATTAGAAAGAATCAAGGGAAATAAAGGATAATCCTTTGCAGTTACTAACACTTCAGTTCATACCTATAGAATATCAGACTACATGATAAGAATTTTACTGGTAGAAACAAATCCTTTTAAATGCAAGTCTCTAGTGGAGCTTAACAAAAAGATCAGCTTTTCAGTTAGATAGCTGTTCCTCAGATTGAGTCTAAAATCCTTAGAGAAGCTTAGTCCCTTAGTGAAATGGTATAGTATTTGCAGATAACTTGTGTTCAGCCCCCTGTGTACTTTAAATCACCTCTAGATTACTTGCAGTACCCAATACAGTGTAACTGTTATCTAAATAGTTCTTAAATGCTTATTGTTTAGGGAATAGTGACAAGAAAAAAGGTACATGTTCAGTCCAGGTATAATTGCTTTTCCATCTGAGATTAGTTGGATCAATGACTGCAGAACTGGTGGATACGGGGAGAAGGGGGAAACTATTTGAGTTATTTCATTTTATGTATGCATATTTTGCTTCCTTGAAACTGAAGACTTTTGTTAAGTGTAAAGATGATGTATTTCTCTCCCCCCAAAAAAAGGAATCCAGCTCATTGAATTGCTATAAAATAATCTCTTAGCAAATACATATATCTGTATTCTTAGATCTCATTTTATGAATTTCTTAGCCATAAAAACCTATACAGAAGTGTACTTTCCTTCACGGCCCATAAGCTAAGCAATTAATCAGCTATTTTTTAAAATTCAGCTATACTTAAAGCTGTTACCTACTTTGAATAAGAATACTGTCCATTTTAAAAAATATTTTAGTGCTAGTTTAGTTATGTATATCTTCACAATTTACCTTTAAAAAAGCAAAGAAAGCTTCAGAACTTACTTTGATGTGATTTAGTTTGTTTCCCTGTTTTTCTTGTAGACCTTGACTGTGGAACAGGGCCTTGGTAGCTTGAACACAAGTGGAAAAGAATATGGAAAGGAAATAGAATGGGAATGGGAGCGAGAGGAACACGAACGGAAATTATAAACAAGCTTCGGAGTACGTCTGTCCTATCATGAGAATTTAGGTCTGCTTAGCTAATTTGTCGCAAGTCTTCACTGCTTGTCATTTCTAAATAACTTCTGAAATGTTTAGGTTTTTTTCCACAGAGAAATCTAAACTAGATCTTGGGACAACTTAGTATTTTCATTTGGATGATTACTGAGGAAGTCTCCAGAATCCTTTTGTTGCATTTTTTCATAAAGACTTCAGAGTACTAATTAGTAATTACATCTCTCATACACTTGAACTTTTTGCCTTTATTGCTTTATTTTTCCCTCATTGTCCTGCTCAAATCCTGAGAGCACCCTTATTTTAAATATGCTTATTTTCTGTTAGACTGGCTGTATAGATTTATACTTCAATTAGGGTGAATTAAGAGACTTTGTTACAATACAGTATCTAGGAATAAATTGAAGCATCAATATTATCTAAAGTATTTAGCAATGCAATTCGATGTGCTTGAGGACAGCAAAGCTCTAGACAAAAGGATTTGTGTTTTTTCAGGACTTAGTTTATTTGGCTAGAGTATTGAATTTTCTAATGATATTCCATAACTTTTGACCGTAATTTCTGAAGTGCCCCCTTTCCATAGTCGGACCTTTTACTCCCCCTCAAAAAGCAGGAAAATAGGTCTTTGAACCAGGCTGTAGTTTGGGGAATGAAACTGTCCCAGGAAAAGGAATAAGGTAAATATGGGGTAAAATAGCCATTGAATGAAAAAAAAATTTACAGAAATATCATGTAAAGTGAGTCATTTGCTTAGTCAGTAACTTATTATTGACTATATTTACTAGTAATATTGTATAGTAGTGGAAGGCCACGTTTGATGGTCATTCCCTGTAGCTTTCTGGGCCTTCAAGAGGCCTTAGCTACTTTAAAAGCAGGTAAGACCAATAGAATCAATAAATGCCTTAAGTCTATCATTTTTCAAATTTTGTAACTAGGGCTGATGTTGGGATAGGAGCATTTATACAAATGAGAATACTCTGTGGGTTTTGGAAACAGAGTCTAGAATTGGCAAAGGTTAAGATACTCAAAATAGCTAAATATTTAGTTTATTTTAGAGCTTTTAATATTCGACTACTTTCCTTGATTGTGTAATAGTTCTGTTTAAATAGAATTCTGAGTAGATCACGCAGTGCTTCTAGTATTCTTTACCCCATACCCTTACCAAAGACAGCTGGTGACTTTTTTGAAGGGAAGGAGAGTACAGAGTGAATCTGTAAGGATTGTACCATGACAGGAAAGAATAAATTGGCGACAGTTGAGAGCAGGTTCCATCACAAGATTGAGGGTGGCAAGTTACAGCACTTTCTTTTTCTTGTAAAAGTAATATCAAGTACTCACTCTTAGCTATCGGTCCATCATAAGACAGGATGGCAAGTTCAAGTAAGTACATTTTTCTTGGAAAGGTAACACCAAGCAAGTGTTCTACCACTGAGCTTATTTTTGGACATTGTTCTCTAAGAAAATTGTGACTTTTTGTTAAGCACACTAGTATATATTACAGAATATTAGGTCACTGTTAATATTGGTTATATTTTGTTAAATCACCTTGAGGTTTAAGAAATATTTTGGTCTCTTCGATATATTTAGAAATCACCTTATAGGTAATATTTTGAAAGACTCTCCCCAGGTTCCTAAAGGACATCTGTTCAGGGGATTGCATGCTACTTTGTACTCTTAGTTACTTAAACAGGGTGGAGTGTTGCACTGAGACACTTTGCCAGAAATGTCACTTGAAGGGAAAGCATTTTTAAGGAGAAAGAGATGATGCTGTATTGTGACCTTCTTTCTGATACTGTTTTATTTATTTTTTGGTTTTTTGAGACAGGGTGTCACTTATGTAGTGAGACTGACCTGGAACTCACTGTGTAGCCCAAGCTGGTCTCGAACTCACAGAGATCCTCCTGCCTCAGCCTCTCGAGTGCTGGGATTACAGGCGTGCGCCACCATGCCTGGCTGATACTGTTTTATTTTTCACAGCTTTAAAACAAGTTCTGTCTTTCGTCTGGCTATGCTTTCTCCATGTTTTCCTCCACTATCCTGTTGCTAAGTACCTTTTATGTGTTGAGTACTGTACTAGGCCCTAGTGACACAGTGTCTGTAACTCAGAGAACTCTCAGGAAATACCTTTCTACTGATAAAAAAATGAACAATAAAGTCAAACTGATATTTGGAATGTGTTAAAATGGGACACAGTAATACAGTGGGCTAGGATAAGTAAAGGCTAGGATATTTCTAGGGAGAGACTTAGGAATGCAGCTTTTAAATATGATTAGGTGTTTTCCAGGTTAGTGACGGAGTAAAGAACATTCTAGGAAGGATTAAATGATACAATTTGACGTGGTAAATTTGTGGAACTCTGCTTATTTGGAGCCTCATGTACATTGTGTCGAAATGTCATGAGAGAATAGAGTGAAGGTTTAAAGTATCAGCCAAATCAAAGAGAGTTTTAGATTTGATCCTTTGGGTAGTCGAGAACTGCCGAAAAACCTTAAATTTGTCATATCCTGGTTGGATCATAAGGATATCCAGGCATACATTCTGAATTGGAGATAAAAATGTGAGATTTGTGATCTTACAGTTTTAGGAAAGCTATAGGCAGAATGAAAGATCTCCAACAAGTCAGTATTAAAAAGGGAAACTGGAAAAACAGGCTTAATGTTCTAACATATTTTACAAAAGAATTATATGCAAGTGATAATGTGCATATGAAAATGGGAGTTACCTTTGCTATGCATCATAAAAATACAAAATGAAACCAAAATGCTACCTTCCAGTAGCATGCTTAAGGGGAAGTAAAAAGGCAGTAGAGAGTGAAAGGTTGTAAAGCAACTGTAACACTCACTGTGGGAATGAACATTGGTATGACTGTTTGGAAAACTCTTTAGCAGTATTTTCTATCACTGAGTGTATCGGTCAGTTAGCTCTCTGTGGTGTGTGTGTGAGAAAGAGAATGAGATTTTTCACACTGATCAGTTTGGAGCCACCACTGATTTAAAAAAAACAACGTGCAGAATTCTTCAAGGTTTAACAAGTAGTGCACGCTGGGCTGCAGCACTCCTAACCTAACCAACCGTTCTATTCCTAGATATATATCAATCACAATGCATACACATTGCCCAGAAAATATGCCCAAAGTATTTATAGCAACTCTACTTGTAAAGCTGAAAATTGGAAGCAACCCAAATGTCTGTCGACATTAGAGTAGATAAATTGTTGTGTATTCATGTAAATGAATGCAGGAATGAGAGAGAATAAAGGACTTTTCAGACTCTTCTTCCATGAAATAACAATAATGCATGTGAAAAAAAATCTAGGGTTGAAATCAGACATAAAAGAAGATGTTGCTAAATTCATGTACATTTCCAGAGCAGGTGAACTAATCTTGAGCGTTAGAAGCCAAGGTGGTCATTTACCTTATTTGAGGGATTGCAAGCAAACAGTGGCCCAAGGGATCTCTTGAAATTCAGGTTATATTCTCTCTCTCTTTCTTTGGATGTGATTTACTGAAATGTTTTCACCTTGTCAAATTTCATTGAATGGTAACACGCTTTATGTGCTTTTCTGAATGCATCTTTTTGTATGAACAAAAATATTCATGTAGGGCAGAAGTTTATGGGCAAAAATGAGATTATTCAGGTTGTCACGTAAGGAAAGTGACAAAACTTTGGAAAGCGTGAAAACCACAAACATTCCTAGCTCTTTCCCCATTTTTTCTGCCCTCTGTCCAGCTTCTTCTATGTCAGTATTGCAGAAGGCAAAGACAATGCCAAGCATAAAATCTAACAGTGAGATTGCTCTTGTCACATACCGCCTAGAGTTTGTCACAGGGAACATTTGGGCTGAGTCCTTAGACTCTGAAGAAGAGAAAGCTTGGTGGATGAAGCTCTGTGGCGAGAGGGACTCCCTAGGGCAGAGCCTGCCTTGTACCCTGGTCGAAGGGCAGAACGGCAGTGTGCTTTTGTAACCCTCCCTGGTGGACCCCAATAAGTGCACCATGATTTTGTCATTACTCTTAGCGATGTCCTGAATTGATATCCTTCTTGAGTTACTTGGATTAAGGAGGAGGGTAAAAGAAACGGAACTCCATACTGGTCGATCGTATTCTGAAAGAATACTTTTGTTTCATTCTTATTTCTGCTTTTTGCACGGGTTGGTCCCAGACTTGTGGGCAAGGTCTTCTTGCCTCAGCGTCCTGAGTAGCGCACGCCACCGTCAGTACAGCCTGCTGGCACAATACGAGGAAAATCAAGGTCTGTTCACCGGCACAGCTGCCTACTTTTTCCCAGAAATGGCCAACAGGCTTTTGAAAACCTCGTCCGTGTCTGCAAGGACGAAACTGCTCCACCAAGTGGGCACGTCCCTGTATAACACCACTCACGGCTTCGAGGAGGAAGAAGTGAAGAAGACGCTCCAGCAGTTTCCGGGGGGGTCCGTGGACCTCCGGAAGGACGACGGTGGCATCGGCATCCTCACTCTGAACAATCCCAGCAAGATGAACGCCTTCTCAGGTAGGAGAGAGCATTCTTTTCCTAGCTAGAGAACGGCATGGAGGCTCACCGGCTGTCCCATGGGTGTAGTCCTTGGCCTGGTGCCAGAATTCCTGCAAGTCTCGGCGCTGTTCATCGGATTCACACACAGCCGTACTCTAATAGGAACCATACTCATTTATTTTAATGTTTTCACAAAATTCATGAATTTTGATTGATAGAAATGTTATTGTTAAATCAATCTTAATTACGTTGCCATTGAAATTTATTAACTGCATATAAAAACTTCATTTTCACCTAATTCCATTGGAAGACAAAGAAAAGGAGGTTTCAAAGGTTTTTCTGAAACTAAAGAGAAAAACCTATACATAAAAAATTATGTAAAATATTTTCTATGAATTGACGTAAGACTGTCATTGTTAATAGTCCTTCTTTTGCTCCTAAAATTTATTTTAATAACAGGAAAGGCTTTCTCTTTTTCTTTCTTTCTTTCTTTTGAAGTTTTTAATTGGCATGAGTAATTAGGTATTAACGGCATGATACTTTGATACATGTGTTTAATGTATCATGATCACATCAGAGACACTAGCATTTCCTTGGGTTGAGAACCTTCCAACTTCTCTCCTCTGTGTATCTCTGTCTGATTATCGTAAACTGCAGTGAAACACTGTGCTGCAGAAACTAGAACCTATTCCCGATTGGAACCGCAACTCTCACTTAGCTGTTGACCCTTTCCTAGCACTTAGATACTGGTGAATACCTTGGATTTGCTAGTTACGTCTCTTAGCATGGGCCAGTTTTATACTTAAGGAGCCTGGAGAGCCAGGGCATGTGGTGATGTATAACTTTGGCTGAAGCTCAAATTTGAATCATGCTACTGTGTTAATACAAGAGCCAATGAGTAGCTTTCCAACCCTCATCCCTCATACTTGAGGTGATTTTGGTAATTTCTACTTGCCAGTTACATGCTTCCTGGCGAGGGTAAATTACATTCTTTACTAACATTTGAAATACTGGACTCAGGTATTACAATAAATTCTGTGTGTCTACCTTTAGTATAGTAGTACCTGCAGACATAATTCTGTGAACTGTTAACTTTGAGAATTGCCGTAGTGGGTCTTTACATTGAAGACATATTTTCTCTCTTAATCAGATTTCAAGGACTTTTCTCTGTGTCAGTGTAGAGCACTAAAATTATAGGGCAAGATCCAAATGCGATCCACACATGTAATTTTAAATATCCTGGTAGCCATCATTTAAAAAGAAGAAACAGGTACAATTGATTTTAATAACACACTCAGTGCATCTGAAATATTATTTCAGCAAGGGAATCGTAAACAATTATGAATGAGATATTTTGCTTTTTATTTGCACACTAAGCCTTGAAACCTGGTATTAGCTGCGTGGGATGGGTGGCTACTTTCTTAGGGTAGCTCCACACCTTCAATTCATTTAGGGAAGAGACTCCAATTTTACTATTATCCTAGGAAACTAAATGTAGAAAGATCAGACTGTCCTAACTTAGATCAGTAGATTTTTATTTTTTGGTACCAGAGATCGAACTCGGGACCTTGTGCTGGCGAGGCAGGTGGCGGCACCACTGAGCTACATCCCTGCCCTAGATCAGTAGTTCTAAGTTACTACTGAATAGTTAGAAATAATCATTTACTCAAGTGAAAACATATAGTAACCTGGTGCCTAATGTATAAACCTAGCAACAGCCGTGCTGCTTGGATTTGGGAAAAGATACTTGGTTAGATTGAATGGGCAGAAGAGTAAGTTCCAAAGCCCTTGTTTAAAAAGTATGTAGCTAGATACTCTTAAGTTTCCCTCTGACTATTAAGTTTTATTTTACAAAGTCAAAAGATGAATTTAAGATTAACTACAAATATAGATCTTTTTTAAGCTCAAGCCCACCATTATTTTTTAGATAACTGAAATATCATAAATGATTGAAGGTGCATATTTCCCTATAGAGATTTATTCTTACCCTAAATGTTTGGGGTTTTTGTTTCCCTTGCTAACCTGAAAATTATTTAAGAACAAGAGCTATATATCTAAAGCATCTAAGAAATTTCTGGAAAAGTTTTAAGACATTTTGGTTACAGTTTTCAGTAAGTCATAATTAGCACCTGGACCGGTAGGCTGTGTTAGTCGTCTGCCAACGAATTACTGAAACTGTACCACTACTTGTTGTTTTAAAAAGGCAAAGAAAAGTTCTTGACCTTGTGGGATTTGTATTCCAAGATTAAGTGTACGTGGTTTAATTGGGCATAAATAGTAAGTTTTAGAGACTCAGTTGCCAGTTTTAATCCTCTCTCATACCTGTTATATTGGCTTATAAAGCATTTCCTAAGCTGCAGAAAATAAATCATGTCGACAATAGGACTATGTGAACTTGGAAGATCACCAGAGATAAGCAGATCTGAAACATACCGACTGCAACTTAAAAAATAGTCCTTGCTGTTCCTATTTTGAATCTACTTAGACAGAAACTCGTACAGCATTTGGAGGGATATCGAGGTAGCAATGCAGTATAACCTGTACATTATGAACCTGATGGTAGCCCAGTGAAGCACTCCACGGTACCCCTTGGGGCTCCTTAGGACACTTGTGGATCAAGGGTGTTTCCCACCCCTTTCCCGCACTGCCTCTGTTAGCCTAGTTCTGGTGTGATAGGGTAGGGATCTCCCTTTATTCTGGATGCCCTGTTTCCATTGTATCATAAGATCCCATAATCATAATAAGAGCCACGAAGCTTATTGAACTTGTTGACTGAAACACCTAACCTAGTTTGCTATAAGGCTTAATTTGTGTTTACCTTTACCCTAAGAAATAATTTTTCCTTATAACCATAACTCATGTTGTACATTCCAGTTTTTCTATCCCCAGGGCATTATATATTTTCATTTTTCTGCAAACATAAATTTATGTGATTTCTTAACATAGGTAGAGAAATACATACACTAAGGAACTTTTAAAGCAGGGACTGTCATATGTATCTCTTTTGTATATTCTATCGGACCAGCACAATAGGCACTTTTTTGAAAAGCATTAGTAACTTTGTAAAAGTTGACCTCAGAATCTTGATTGACTAAGGTGACTACTGTTTCTGTTTTCTCAGTCTCAGACTTACCTGAGTTTGTGATTTCCATCTTCCTTTCCTGGCAGGTACTATGATGCTACAACTTTTGGAAAAAGTGATTGAATTGGAAAATTGGACAGAAGGGAAAGGGCTCATTGTCCGAGGGGCCAAAAACACTTTCTCTTCAGGATCCGATCTGAACGCTGTGAAAGCTCTAGCGACTCCAGAGGTGAGGTTGTGCGGTTCATGCTGATTTGGACTGCTCGTGTGGACTGGGCGTGTGAGGCTGTGTCTGTGTGGTGATGAGCAGGACTCTTGCTCTTTGCCTTCAGCTTTTGGTGGAATTATAAAGAGCTGTAAGGGGAATGATGTAAGGGAAACAAATGATCCTTTAGGTTTTTGCAGTAGGCTCAGGGAGCACTGAGGTGAACACTTGGAAATGACTCCCTTTGGCTGCACAGTGCATTCAGCTGTGTCTTTGCTTTTGCAGAGTGGCATTCTCTCTCATTCCCTCCTCTCTCTCTCCCTCCTCTCTCTCTCTCTCTCTCTCTCTCT